TCCCCTACCTACTACTAGCCTGAGGGTTAGAATCCTGGTTTCAGTGATATTAAGGATTTTTGCCCTTGTGGGTTACCTCTTATTTATCATTTGTCTGCTGATCGCTGCTCCCAGTTCTGAGTTCAATTCTTAGTTGTTGGGTTTTTACTGTTTCGTGTGGTGAGGAAACAAAATTTCCCTTACTTGTTCAGATCTCAGCATTGCATGTGAAGATATATTTTATACAAGATCTAATTGTTTTGTAGTGAAAGAGTCTTTCAAGGAATATGGCCCAGCGTATTGCTGTAACAGAAATATCTCATTCATTCTCCAGTTTACTTCAAATTTGACTTTTTTTCTCTACCCTTCCAGCTTGCCAAAGTTGACAGTAACTCCCTTGTTAACAAATCTGTGGATACATTTCTGTCTTCTTTTTACCCAGCCTCTTAGCAGCATTGACACAGCTGATCATTCACTTATTATTTCATCTAGTTTTAGCTGAGCACAGTTGTGGATGCTAGAACAAACAGAACAAACAAAAATTCTAAAGATAAGAAACAGGCAATAAACAGGAAACAAGATAAACGTATAATAAGACAAAGGGCAGAAGAGAGGGCATCAAGACTCCTGAAATTTTTTAAGGGACTGAAAGAGTAAGCCTTATTGGAAAAAAATTGTATTTAAGGAAATACTTGAAGGAGGTAACAGAGTAAGTAAACTGTGAGAATATGTGAGGGAAGAACGTTCTAGGGAGTGAAAACAACCAGTGTACAGGCCTGAGGCAGAACTGTATCTGTGTTTTCAGAAAGAGGTGTGGCCAGAACAAAGTCAGCATGGGAGATGTGATGAAACATAAGATCAGATCAGGAAGGGGAGCTGGCAGATCATGTGACACCCTGTATAACACTATAAAGACTGACTTTTACTAAGATGGGAAGCCATTTTTTGATCAGAATTGTGACATGAACGGATATGTTTTTAAATAATCCCTCTTGCTGGCTACTGTGTTGATAGAAAACCATAAGGGATCAAAGATGGACGCAGTGAGACCACTTAGATATTGTTATAGCCATCTTTCTCCTTGATCCTTTCTCCCTCTCTTGGGTCGATTATCATATCTCCAGATTTTTCCCTTGGCTTACTACCTGTTTCCTTCTCTAGTTCCTTCTCCAGCAATCTTCTCCAATTTCTAAATATTGAAATACATCAGACTTTGTCTTAAGATCCTTCTTGTGTCTAAGGCCATTCGCTGGGTGATCTCATACAAACCTGGCTTTTAATGGTTTTAATACATATGATTTGTGCTAGTGATGCACAAACTTAGAAATTCAACCCTGAGCTCAAACTCATAAATCCAGTAGCCCACTTGCTATCCAAACTGAAACTCTTCATTTCTCCCCAAACCTTTCTTCCCCTAGTCCAGGCTTCCACACCCCAATAAATGACACTACATTTCCTCAAGCCAAGAAACAGTCATCCTTAATGCCTCTTTCCTTCATTTCTACCAATCCACCAGCAAGATGTGTTTTTCTGTTCCCACATGAAGGAGCTGTTTGCTCCACAATGCTGTATGTCAGATAACCTCAGAAATCTCAGTAGCTTAATAAACAATGAATATTTATTTTTCTCACCCATGAAATTGCAGGTCAGTTGGTGTTTGGCTGAGTTTGCCTGCTCTTGGCCTGCTGCAGGCTGCAGGATGGGGTGGGGTCTCCTTCACATGTGTTCATTCTAGGGCTTAGGCTGAGAGGCAGCAACTGCCCCACGGATGACCACAGAGTAATGTCAGAAGCTCAGGAGGGCAAACCAGTCATATTTCAGGCTTCTAGTTACAACATTTGCCATTGATTGAAGCAAGACACATGGACAAGCCCAAAGCTGAGGGGTGGGAAGTACATGGTATCCACAATGAGGCCACAGCAAGGGGACAGCTATATAATATATTGTGGGGATGAAAGAATTGGAACTAATTATCCAATTATTTCATCTCCCACAACCTCCTAAAGAATTGTACCACTTCCCAGATCCACTGTTAGCCATCATCTCTTGCCCCGGGACAGTTATCTCTCTTCTCATCATACCTAGAACAATGCCTTGTATTAGTATATGCTCAGTAAGAATGTAGTGAATAAAAAACTCCCAGCTGATCTTCAGTTTCACTGGTTACATTCATCACTCTTCAGTCTCTTTCTATGTAGCAGCCAGGATGGGATTTTAAAACTGTAAATCCTATCTGTGCTATAAAGAGAAATTTATCTGGTCTCTGTCCCTGGTTCCAGACACACAGCTACTAAATTTCTTGGAATTTCCTGAGTAATAAGAGTGATAGGAGCATCTTTTATTCTAATGACATGACTCTTGGTGGGCTTCTCAATAGCTTCAAGATGTGGGCTGGTCACAGGAAAGACCATACCTAGATTAGAGGCTTGTAACTTTCAGCCACACCTCCCAACCTCAGGGGAGGGGAAAGGGACTAGAGATTGAGGTCAGTCACCAGTAGCCAATGATTAATCAATCTTGTGTATGTGATGAAACTCCATAATCGCTTCTCGGCCTTTTGGCTAAGATCAAGTGTGAAACTTCATAAAAAAACCCACTGAAAAAAGATCAGGATTCTGAGAGCTTTCAGGTTGGCAAACACATTGAAGTGCTGGGATGGTGGTGTGCCCAGAGAGGGCGTGGAACCTCTGTGCCCCTTCCCCCACACCTTGCCCTACACATCTCTTCCATCTGTTCCTGAATTGTATCTTTTCTAGTAAATGTAAACAGCATGCCTTCTTGAGTTGTGTGAGTTCTAGCAAATAATTGAACCTGTGAAGGGGAACTCTGAATTTACTGTCGGTTAGTCAGAAGTGGAATGTGAAGTCAAGTGGGCCTTAGAAAGCATCAGTACGAACAAAGCTAGTGGAGGTGACGGAATTCCAGTTGAGCTATTTCAAATCCTGAAAGATGATGCTTTGAAAGTGCTGCACTCAATATGCCAGCAAATTTGGAAAACTCAGCAGTGGCCACAGGACTGGAAAAGGTCAGTTTTCATTCCAGTTCCTAAGAAAGGCCATCCCAAAGAATGCTCAAACTACTGCACAATTGCACTCATCTCACACGCTAGTAAAGTAATGCTCAAAATTCTCCAAGCCACGCTTCAGCAATACATGAACCATGAACTTCCAGATGTTCAAGCTGGATTTAGAAAAGGCAGAGGAACCAGAGATCAAATTGCCAACATCTGCTGAATCATCAAAAAAGCAAGAGAGTTACAGAAAAACATCTATTTCTGCTTTANTTTGCCAACAAAGGTCCGTCTGGTCAAGGCTATGGTTTTTCCAGTGGTCATGTATGGATGTGAGATTTGGATGGTGAAGAAAGCTGAGTGCCAAAAAGTTGATGCTTTTGAACTATGGTGTTGGAGAAGACTCTTGAGAGTCCCTTGAACTGCAAGGAGATCCAACCAGTCCATCCTAAAGGAGATCAGTCCTGGGTGTTCATTGGACGGACTGATGCTGAAGCTGAAACTCCAATACTTTGGCAACCTCATGCGAAGAGTTGATTCACTGGGAGAGACCCAGATGCTGGGAGGGATTGGGGGCAGGAGGAGAAGGGGATGACAGAGGATGCAATGGTTGGATGGCATCACCGACTTGATGGACATGGGTTTGAGTAAACTCCGGGAGTTGGTGATGGACAGGGAGGCCTGGCGTGCTGCGATTCATGGGGTCACAAAGAGTTGGACACGACTGAGCTACTGAACTGAACTGAACGGAGTCAAAAGTACAAGTGGCCACCTGGGACTTGTGAGTGGTCTCTATAGTCTTGGTGGACTGAGCCCTTAACCTGTGGGGTAGTTAGGGTCAGAATTGAATTGTAGGATACCCTGTTGATGTCTACAGAGAACTGGAGAATCGGTTGGTATGGAAAAGCCCATATACATTGGGTGTCAGAAATGTTGTGAATAAAAACAACTCAGACTATCATATTAATCCCGGTTTAAAACCCTGCCCCGGGTTCCCTTTGCCCTTGAACTCCTTACCACGGTCTTTATAGGTCTTTATAAAGGCATCCGTTATCCAGCCAGGCCTGGCTTTCCAAACACTAGCATCTGGTACCACTCACTGCTCTCTGGCTAACTGCCCTTTTCCTCCTCAAATATTCCAATACCTTTCAGCTGCAAGACCTTTGTACTTGCTGTTCCTTCTGACTGGAATGTGCTTTCTCAAGATCTTGGCATGCTAGCATTCTCTTATCCTCAGCTAAAATGTCACCTCCTTAGAGAGGCCTCCTGGACCATCAATCCTTAAAGATCCTCTTCTCACTCCACCTCCGCCCCCATTATGTTTCATCACCACCACCTTGTTTATTCCTTTCAGTGAGTTTATCGCTCTCTGAAATTACCTTGCTTTTGTTCATTCCTAATCCTAGAATGATGTCTGACACATGTTAAGTGCTCTGTAAAAGTCTGTTGAGTGGATATATATGAGAAAACATTGCCTCCACATTTTTAAAGAAACTCTTTGCTATCTTTTATTTTCATATATTCATCCAGATGTTAGATGGTATTAAGTCCACATAAAATCAACTCAGGATAAATAAAAATATTGCAGTGTCTGTGTTGATAAAGAAGAAATTGGGGACTGGAGTTGCTTCAGCCTGTGTGGTGGCATCCTGCAGTGTGTGCCTCTAGGGCCCTAGTCTGTGGGGTCGAATGTCTCAGTAAGGCCACCTTCTAACTCACTCGCTGAAGAGCCAGCTTTCCTGGCTCATCTTCCTTCTTTTTCTATCCTCATCACTGGTTAATGTACAAGATAATTTATTTATTAATATTTACAATCATTGTTTGTCACCTGTCTCACTGCCCCCCCACCTCTGCCACCACCGTGAGCTTTGTGGCCACATGAAGGCAAGGATCCTATTTGGGTTTTTGGGTATGCAGTACATGTTCTTCGGTTTGTGGGATGAATCAGTGAGTGAATGTTTCAAAGGAAAGGAAAGAATCTGGAAGGTCCTGAATCAATCTCTTTCTCCAGGTCGCTCCAGAGTAGGGGAACCCCCACCATTGCACTATTTACCTTCCAAGACACTATAGGCAAAACCTCCATGAGGTATATATGTTTACTAGTTTATTCATTGTCAGAATGGCTTTACTTGTATATTTATAACTCCATCTTGTGTGCATGTTATGTTTTGTATATGAATCCTTTGTTCACACCAGAGCTCATCTAAGGAGGAATTTAGCTTGGTATTTATGACATTGTGATAGGAAGTGACATCACGATAGGGCAAAATCTGATAAAGTTCCACTCCGTCCTGTAGAGGCTATTTCCTCCTTGAGCACACACTACTTTTCCTCTTCGCACAAGGAAAGCCCAGTAGTTGTTTGAATGCTGGATAAAACTGAACACTTAAATTTATCATCAAGAAGGTATTAAAAGAAGAGGAGCAAAAGAGTACAAGAACTAAAAGTGTTACAACTTTGGTGAGAAGTGGCCACTTCAGAATCTTCTCATTTAGCAGCTATATTTCTCTTTTAACTTCACATTTTCTTAGGATGATGAAATGAAAATATTTTGTTCTTGGTTATTTTTTACAAGTCTTCTTGTCCTCATGAGAACCATCCAGTCTGTCAAGATATAAACAAAAATTTTTCTTTAAAAGATAAACTATGTATTTTTCTTTGAAACAACTGATGGGAGAGAAATTCTTCCTTTAGTTTGAATAGTCATACTTTTAAGTTGCTTGGAGGTAGTTATATATGAATCTTCATATTAACTTGAATCTCATTTAAAATAAAAGATGAAAGAAGAGAGTTAACTCATTAATTATTTAAAATACTTGGTGCAACTGTTCCTTGTGAGTTAATCCAGGCACTTGGAAGAAAATTACACTCAGTGTTAATAACATTGCCAACCTTTTCCAGTATGCTGCTCTCCAAATACTATTGTGTTTTCACTGACAACAGTCACTGTTACATATGCATGTGAAAAACAGGCATTTTCATCAGAATTACTGTAATAGCATTAAGAGATTATTATTTTTCCAATTTATTTGGAATAAAATTCACTTAAATTAGATTATTTATTACTTGACTGCTCTTCTGTCTTGCCTGTATGTTAGGTAACTGGAGTCCATGAAAGTATAAACTTCAGAATAAAAAGCATGATTTTATACATTGATGATTTCAAATAAAAGAGGAGTGCTAGTCTGTGTGCATCATTTCTTTTGAGAAAGTTAAGTCCGTGTTCTGTTTAGGAGAGATAACACTTTTTGTCCCTGTAGGTGGCCCCCGCGGTGTAGCCATTAGTTGCTAATTACTTGCAAACAAATAAACAATTAACTCCTGGAGCTGCTGGCTGGGCCAGTGTGCATTGACATGCTAAAACTTTCTGAAACGGGGTTTTAATTAGTGACGTTCTAAATCCAGCCCCCTTGTCAGCGGAGCAATAAGGTGAACTGCAGGAAGGTCCAGCCCCGGACACGTGGGGCAGAGCCAGCCAGGGAGGCTTGGAGCTGTTGCTCTGTGCAGCCCACGCAAGGATGTCTCCTAGCCTTCAGGAAGGTGCTCGACTTGGGGAAGGCAAACCCTCACCCTGCCCCTTTTCAATTGAGAGTATCTTAGGACCAGACCAGAAGAAAGACAGTGTTCCATCCACGAAACCCCACAGGCCCTGGGCTGACACCTGCAGCTCTTCAGGTACGCCACAACTTAATTTTTAAATTTGTTAATTTGTTTACAGTGTTTAATTTGGCCTTTTTTCTTTTTTTCATATTACATAGACTTAGAGAAAAGCTTTACTTTCATCCAAGTACATAATTGAAATATCTAGCACTTTTAATGCCTCCATCTGATTGTTATGGGAAATAAAAAGATCATTGGCTTTAGATCCAAGTAGGTATGAAGCACGCACGAGAAATGCCAGGAGCCTTCCTTTACTTCAGAAGATCTCTGGGTTTATTGCCATATCCTATATTCTAAATCTTCTCACTGAAGAATCAGTGACACTCAGAGGCCAGAATGTGTTCTCTATCAGCAAGACAGGGCTCTCATTTTTGTTTGCTTTTTGGATTTTGGTCTTCTGTGAAACCTAGAAGAATTCTACTAGGAAAGTTAGAGACAAGTTTCTGAAATTATTTCTTATACAACTTTGTAGAATATAGAATTGGACACCTAAAATGGGATTTATTTTTTCTCTTTTTAGAGAAAGAAGTTAACCTATGTCTACATGTCCCCACTCTTCCCAATGGGATCTCATTACCTCAAACTGTGGATCACTCGGTGCCGGAAGAAAGTATTTTGAAATACGAAGATTACTTTTCACCCTCAGAGAGACTTTCTTTGAAAAGAGAGTTGAGTTGGTATAGAGGCCGAAGACCCAGAACTGCTTTTACTCAAAACCAGGTAGGGAGTTTTTTCAGCCAATAATCTTAATACAAAGGCTTTAACTGATGCCCTGTTCAGCAAAAAGCCCATCCACTTTGGGATCTCAGTTTAGAAGCCTTATTAATGAAACAATAGACCGTATCTCTCTCTCTCTCTCTCTCTCTCTCTCTCTCTCTCTCTCTCTCTCTCTCTGTCTCTCTCTCTCTCTCTCTCCTTTAACAGTTTCTGGATAGTCATTAAAAAAAAAAGCTTACATACTGATTGCCCAAGATTTGAATGCAGATATTTTGCTATACAAATTAAAGTCTATTTTATGATGACAGACCAAAGATCAACATTTTAAATAATTATTTCCTTCTTCTTAGATTGAAGTGTTAGAAAATGTCTTTAGAGTAAACTGCTATCCTGGCATTGATATCAGAGAAGACTTAGCTCAAAAACTGAACCTAGAGGAAGACAGAATCCAGGTAAGTTTTCAAACTTAGTTATTACTTCTGGCAATGAAAATGTTAATAATAAAATAACATTTCTGAGGTCTGTTTTATCTTCCCTTAATTTTAGATCTGGTTCCAAAATCGGCGTGCAAAGCTGAAAAGGTCCCATAGAGAATCACAGTTTCTAATGGCAAAAAAAAATTTCAACACAGATCTCCTGGAATAAATAGAAAACTAAACATGTGGAATTATCTTCCAATTGCAGAACATGAAGAATTAATGAAATATCAAGTGTTGAAAATGTTATGTTTTCTGTGTTTAATCTGAGCATTGTCATTTTTATTGGAAAATATATTGTAAATACTTACTATTATATTATAACATGGTACCTGTTGTACTTGGGCACTGTTAGTTATAATAAAGGCCTTTCCTATATATTTTAATAAACATTTGCAGAAAAAGCCAGTTATTTTTGGTGAACAAATTTAATCAAATAAATTAATTTGTTAAAATCAGTAAACTCATAGCTAATTGACTCTACAACTTGATTCCATTTACAAAATAATTCCAGTCAAATAGTCTGAAGAATGGCACAAAGATGTGATTCATTTCAATAAGTTCAAAATGCATTTTGAAATGTGATTATACTTAATATATTATAGCATATGATTTATTCATGAATCTTTTGTTTCTCTTTATTTCTGGCATAAAGCAGTGAGATTTTCTCACCATATATCAATACAAATCCTTATAGCACTCTAGTTTCAAGTTTTTTATTTAGCAAAGTTATTATGCCAAAGTAGAGATGTAAAATCATCAATCGTCTTATTCATGCCATTAGTATTAGGTTGTGCAAAAGAATTGAGCTACAAATAAATGCAATTTTAGTTATTTTTCTAGTCCACTCAATATCATGCTTTACTTTCATTCATCAAAATGAGAATGATCATCTGGCTTATATCTGTTTCCAGTTAATCACCTGTATGTTTTGTTACAAACAATACGTTGACTGAGGAGGTAGGATAACTGTTCTGACATTATCACTGGAAATAACCAGGGCACTTTCTGGTACAAAAACTGTATTTTCTTTGCATTTGCCATGGTTCCCGTCAGTTAAAGACAGGAATAGGACAAGATGCATCACAAGGGAGTCCTACTGGGAATCTGGGGATTTGTTTTCCGTTTAATTAATGGAAGGCCAGAGTGGATGTTCTGTTTAATATAAGCTGGAGGACGCTGACTTTGTTTCCTGGAAGCTGTATTCCAACTTCACGCATTTGGATTGAATTCTTCCTTGCTTCCCTTTTCTTTTCTACCTTTTACCTTTTCTTTCCTCTGCTCTTCTTTTCTCTCCTGGTAAGGACCAGAGTAGAAGGTTCTTGTTGAATTACTGTATCTATGCTGGTTTTATATATATATTTTTTTTCTTTCATTTTTTAATTGCATTAGAAAGATTAGAGGAGTTTGCATTTCCTGATGAGGAAAAGTAGCATGACTCAGATTTTAGAGCTTTTAAAAAATCATTTACTGAGAACAATTTGGAGGAAAGACCGCTCTGTGTCCCAGTAAGCTCTGTGTCAGCAGTAAGCTGTGATTATCCTGCTTCACTGTTGCTGGATGGAGAGCGAGGAGGAAGAGAAGGGCAGCAGGGAAGTAAAGGGGAGAACAGAGGCATTAAATGTTTTCCGAAGAAGTCTCTGCTGTCAGACTGTGGAGCTGCTTTTTCTGACATAAAGAACCACTTTCGGTAATATACGATTAGGACCCTATTTATGAAATATGTTAGTCACAGTTTATCCACCAGGTACTTCTTTGCTCTTCATAGGCTCCTGTGAAATTATATTAAGGTGGAGGACTAGAAGTCATCAGGAGTGGGTTGGAGGGGAAAGAGTCATGTGATGGGTAAGCTTTTTCAAATAGCCATTTAATTTAATCCCTAAGGTCATATTTACATATTGTAAACATTTCAAGTAGTGTAGAAGTAGAGTTAAACCTCCCTCAAATCTCCTCCTTCACAGATAACGATCATTAAACATTTTTATACACCTTTTTGTATATAAAAGCGTGTGTATATGTATACATATATATACACTCGTATATGTATTTGTTTTTGCTGTTATTTTTTAAATGTCATCACAGTTGACAGTCTGTGCATCTTTCCAGCATCTTGCAGTTTCAGACATATAGTTCTCTTTTGTTCTTAATGTTCGCTTGGCTTAGCAAGTCCTATGTATAACTATTTCACAATGTTAATATTTTAAGTATTTTTGAACTAGAGCTTTTCACATATTGAGAGTTTTCAAGGAGTAATCATAGTTTACGTAGAATTTATCTAAGATTAAACCTAACCCCCAAGACTGAGAAGTGTGAGGATTCTTTATAAACTTACAGACTTTAGAAAAAAATGAAACAGCATCACAAACTTTGATAAACAACTAATAATGTACTTAAATTATTTTTTACTTATACGAATTTATAACTATAAAAAGTCTGGTGAGGAAAGAAACAGTATTTCTCAGTGACAGTTTAATATAACAGATTTATGTGCTTTTAAAATTCAATTTTGTGTATAATTGAAATATGTTAACCAAAGTTACATATTTATAAATGAAATTGTTTATAATAGAAATTATGCACTTTTAACTGAAACAAGTTGCATTCATTCGTCAGTCAGAATAAATACAGAAATTGTCATATTGAAGAAATAACTCTGAATGTAATATGTGCATACTTTTATATTTTCAGATACTAATAACAGACTATAATAAAATATTGTGAAGTGAGTTCATAATATGTGAGAATATTCAAGAGATAATATACACAGTAACTAGTATATTTCCCCTAAAATCATTTCCAAAAACCTAAAAGATAAAGGCTGATCTTGTTAAAGGAAATAATGTGTTGGTAATTTTTTTTTTAGCAATTAATTGTCATTATATTGGACAGAGTATGATGATATTCAGGAGGAAAACTAGACTTTAACTTTGAGGAAAAATCAAGCAAGATGAAAATGGAAATGAAAACCCAAGATAAAATTATCTTTTCCTCAAAACACGCAGGCTCTCTCTAATCCATAGCTTAACTCTGCTCCTAGTAATTCCAAGCCTTTGTCTCCATTAATGCCAGGACAAGGTGAACAGTAGTAACAAATCAAACTAATGCAGTCAGGCTAATACCGGGAGCGTCTCTATTATCTGTTGACTGCTTAAATAAGGTTATTCCGTCTCCTGTAATGGCATTTGTCTCTTGTGAAGCCAGCCAGCCAAAGCCCATCACTAACGAGTGCTGGTGGAAACAATGGCTGTGTGTGCTGGTGGTCAGCTTTTGAGTTAATCAGTGTTAATAGCTGCTTTCACCCCTTGCATCTTATCACACACTTATGTGAGTGGCATGAATCTCCCAAACACAACACAACACAACACACAGAATCAACCTGGCCCTTGTGTTTTAGTCCACTTTTAGTATGCTAGCCCATTTACTTGATGTGGAATCCAAGTCAACGTGTGACAGATAGTGACTTGCTGACTCCATTTCACTGAGCCCCATTGGACTAAAAGTTCCTCCACGTGTTTTTGGCTAAATTTAATGCTTAGTTTGACTGTTCTGCCTTCTCTTGGGGCAAGAACCCACAGCAGCAGAGCAGCCAAGGCAGCTCTTGGGGGCTCCCAGCATCCCATTAGACTCACCTTTTCCATTTTCTGCCCTCCTATTTTCTCATTTCCATCCTTTTCCTTTTTCCCTGCGAATGCCTTGGTAAGCTTGTTGGTGTCAACAGGCTTTATTGAGTCCAATAAATATGTTTATTGCTTACCTTCAGTCTAGTAAAGAGTTACCAACATTTAGGAACTTAGTGTTCTTTTCCTCCAGGTCTCCATGGGTGGCTTAGTGGGCTATCTCCCTTACTTTGCACTTTATGACTGAGTGATTTCAATGAAATAAATGATATCATAGTTTATATTCTATTACTGTATCATAAGCTTGCAAAAACTAATGCACCTATTACAGCTGGTGTTGGTCAAGGAGTTGTATAATGATTTGTTGTTTTTCATAACCCCTTTGATGGTTATTTATGGATTTGTGGTGCCACCAGCCCTGCTGTTCCTTGATCTCTAGTTCAATCAAGTCAGTCAGTCAAAACATACTCACTGGAGGCAGCATAGCCATGTAGTCAAGAAATTGGAATATTGTCTGGTCATCTAACTTCAAACCACAGCAGCTGTTTGACTTTGGACTAGTTAGTCAATCTCTTCAGGCCTCAGTTTCCTCATCTATAAAATGGGGATAATAATGGGACCTATTTCATAGAATCATTGGGGTAATTAAGTGAGATAATAGGTAAGACTTAGACTAATGCCTGGCGCATATAAAATGCTCAGTAAATGTTGGCTCTTGTTACAATAATGTGCTGGAGATAATATGCTAGGGAATATAGAACAAATGAAGTTGTCTGGAACTGTGTCTTCATGTCTGGAACAATGTATGGCACATAGTAGGTTCTCAATCAACAGTCTAAAACAAATGAAAACATTTCTTGGTCTCTAGGAACTCACCATGTGGTGGAGAGAAAAGACTATTCAACGATTATTTAATAAATATTTGTTCAGTATCTGTCTGCCATAAGCCACTGAGCCACTATGTGAATCTCTAGGGTTGGAGTGATGAACAAGTCAAATAAGATCTCCACTGTTTGGGGACTTAGTATACCCAGTACCCAGTGCAGTTGAGGAGGGAGGGAGAGAGTGTCCAGTCAAGGCAAATAGTTGGCCCACAATAGATGGTGAATGAACGGCATAGAAGATAACACAGGGAAGTATATAATTAGGGACAAAATTAATGTATGTAAATAGTTAGGACTACTGTAGGTTTTAGGAGGGGAAGGACCAGAGAGATGTGTAAAGATTAGTCCTCAACTTGTTGGCCAGCATGGATGCAGTGGGAAAAGGGTAAGGCTTAATGTGGGAAGGAGCTGGATGCTGGTGGAAGGGTGTTCCAGGTGAGGAAACAACATGTCAGAAGACTCTAAAGCTGGGCAGCATGAACAGTGGCCTCCTTAGGGTGGAAGGGGCCAACTTCATAGCCATGCAACCCCATGCAGTTACACAGGGCCCTCCCTGCCTTTGGTTTAGTGCTCTGCTGCTGACATTCTTTGACCAAGAGGTGCCACATTTTCATTTTTCACTGAGCCCCTAAAATTTTGTAGCCAGTCCTGCCTGTTAAAGGTAGATACAGAAAAAGCCCAAGGAAGTTCAGTTTGATATGGCGGTAAATTGTGAGCCATGTTTGGCTCTAGAATTAGGGTTGCAGCTTGGCTTAGGATGATAGAAGCAGGACACAGGTTTTAAAAAAGAAAACAAAAACAGCTGGATTGAGGGAATCAACCTATCTACAGGTGAGGTATCTGCTTTTGAAGTTGAGGGCCTGGGTGAGAGTGGGGGCAAGTGGAGATGAACAGAGAGAGGGAGATTATAGAGTGGGGAAAAGGAGAGGAGAGTGAACTGAAAGTGCTGCAAACTTTGGAATGTTTGAAGATTACTAAATATGCAAGAACCAGATCATACTTAGCCCGCAACTTACGCACTTAGGCAAGGAACTTGACTTACCTACTGTTACTTCCAGTGTGATGAAAACATCTTTTTCTTAGCAATTTGCAAAGTAATCCCTGCAAATAATAGTTTTACAAG